TGCACGTGTCCCACCCCCACCAGCAGGACAGGAGAGTTCCAATTCCTCCACTTCTCACCAGAACTCGGTGTTGAAACTATTTTTCATTTTACCTGATACGCTGGGTCCACCAGCGATCTCGTGCGTTTCCCCAGCGGTGATGATGCTGGGTGTCTGTCGCGTGCGTATCTGCCGTCCATCCATCTTGTTCAGGGAGAGGTCTCCTTGGGGCTCTTACCCGCTTTTTGATCGGGTTGTTTCTTTTTCTACTGCCGAGTATTTTGAGTGCAGAATCTTCTCTCAATCTATGTCTGCCTTTTCACCTCCTGGCAGGTTCTTCCTATAGAAAATTCTTTCAGTTTTGATCAAGTCCTACTTTACCAATTTTCCCTTTTATGGATTGCACTTTGGGTGCTAATCTAATTAAGCTTTATCCCAAAGATGTTAATCTAATCTAATTAATCTAATTAAGCCTGGATCCCAAAGATTTTCTGCTATGTGCTTTTCCTTAAAGTTTTACAGTGTTATATTTGTTTATGATCTCTATTTAAGTTAACTTCAGTATAAGATACAAGACTTTGGTTCACGTTCATTTTTTTTTTTTTCGACAGTGAGCACCGTTTGTTGAAAGGACGGTTTCGCCTTCATTGACTTATCTTGCATATTTTCCAAAAGAAATCAATTGGGCAGATTTGTGTGGGTGTATCTTTGGGTTTCCCATTCTGTTTCCCTGGTCTTGTGTCCGTCCCTTGCCCCACACCACACAGTCCTCATTTCTGTGGTTACCTAGAAAGTCTGGAAAGTCGTCAATCCATGACTCTCACTTTATTCTTTTTTCAAAATGATTTTAGCTAGTCTGCTTCCTTTGTATCTCTGCGTATACTTTAAAATTATCTTGTTTATAAAAATAATCTTGCTGGGATTTTGATAGGAACTGTGTTAAAACTGTGTATCAGTTTGGGAGGAACCAATATCTTCACCAGGGTCTTCCAATCCATGAACATGGTATGCCACTCCATCTGTTTAAATCTTTGATTTCTTCCATTGACACTGTGGAGTCTTCAACAGACAAGTCTTGCATATTTTCTTAGGTTTATGCCATATATATATTTTGTTTGTTTGGTTGGTTTTTTGATCTATTATGAATGGCACTGTATATTTAATTTAGGTCTTACACATTTACTGCTGGTCTATGCAAATATAATTGATCTCCTGGGTCCTGCAATCAGCTGATGTCCCTTACTTGTTCTGGGAGGTCTTCTTCCTAGATTCTTTGGAATTTTCTGCATAGATAAAATTGTCAATCTGCAAAAAGGGACAGTTTATTTCTCCCTTTCCACTCTGTGGCCTTGTGACCCCTCTTCTCGTGTGACAATCCCGTAGAATTTCCAGCATTATGTGTGAGCTGTACAGTTTTAATAGATTCTATTAGGTTGAGGAAGGTCCCATCTGTGCTATTTTGCTGGGAGTTTATAGTCAGAACAGATGTAAATTTTGTCAAAAAAATTTTTCTTTGCATCTATTGATGGAAACTCATCTGGGCGCCTGGGTGGCTCAGTGGGTTAAAGCCTCTGCCTTCGGCTCAGGTCATGATCTCAGGGTCCTGGGATCGAGCCCCGCATCAGGCTCTCTGCTCAGCGGGGAGCCTGCTTCCCTTCCTCTCTCTCTGTCTCTCTGCCTGCTTGTGATCTCTGTCAAATAAATAAAAAAATCTTAAAAAAAAAAAAAAACCAACCTCATACGGCTATTTTTTTCTTTATCCATTAAATATGATGGATGATATTTATTGATGGAATTTGAAATATCAAAAGAGCTTTGCATCCTTAGAGTAAATCCCACCTGATAAAAGTGTGTAATTTTTTAATATACACTATTATTCTATTTCCTTGGGTTTGGCTAAGGGATTTTGTATCTGTTCATAAGGGATAATGGCCTCTTGTTCCTTTTTTGTTCTCTTTGTCTGATTTTGGTACCAGGGAACACTGGCTCCATGGAATGAACTGGGATGTGTTCCTTCCCCTTCATTTCTGGAAGAGGTTGTGGAGAATTAGTGTTAATTCTTTACATGTCTGGTTGAATTCCCCAGTGGAACCATCAGGGCCTGGAGAATTCTTTGGGGGCAGGGGGAATGCGTATGCCATGGATGAATTTCCTCACTAGCTACAGGGCATCCAAAGTGCCTAGTTCACACTGAGCAAGTTGTCACGGTGCATCGTCATGGTGAACCACTACGTACAGCGCTGCCGTCCTCTTCCGGTCTACAGGCTGTGCAGCGAGGGGACCCTTTCGTTCCTGATATTAGCAATTTCTTTCTTCCCTATTTCTCGTCCATCTTTGGAAAGACTGACCAACTCTCTCGATCATCTCCAAGAAACTGTTCTTTTTTAATTTTTTTTTCTATTATTTCCTCATTCATAATTTCAGTGATTTCTGTTTGTATTTTAAATATTTTCTTCTTTAAATTTTTTTTTTCTTCCTGGGGATCTTGGGGTTATCTGCTTCTTCTTTTTCTAGGTTCTGGAGGCAGGCATTCAAACTCTTCATTCCAGATTTTCTCCTTTCCTAACGTATATGTTTACTGCCATAAGTGTTCCTCTCAGCTCTCTTTGAGCTCTGTCCTGCGACTTGTGAAATATTTTACTTTCATTTTATTCACTTCGGTATACTGTGTGATTTCCCCCCAGATTTTCTCTTGGACCCACGAATTATCTGCAAGGGGGCTGCATCACTTCCAGGCGTTTGGACATCTTCCTGTTACCTTTCTGTTACTAGTGTCTGGTGGCATTCCCTACGTGGCACCCATTCTCTCTGCTCTGCGGAAGCCTGTTCCACAGCCAGGGATGTGGTCCATCTGGGTTCCGTGGTCCCGGGGCCTTGGCCAGTCCACAGCGCAGCTGCCTGGCGTCCGTTCGACATACCGCCGGGAGGGAACAGGGAACGCCACATCTACTCCATGCCAGGAGGCCAACACCACCCTCCTGATGGGGGTTTAAAGCAAATGCTTTCACGTACACACACAGTGGCACCTGGCACTCAACGACACAGAGCCAGGCACCGTGTTAGATGCCGAGCACATCCCACCCCGACCCTGTGCGCCGGTCACAGATGAGGCATACTTGTGCTTGCAGATGAGGCAACCGGCTCAGCGGGTCACTAACTACGCGCGGCACAGCTGTTCCGTGACCGCACTCAAGTCAGGGCCCCCTCCAACCTGACGGTGTAGAACAAAGCACACCTGGCCAGGGGGAGGCTGGCCAATGCGCAGTCCCGGCTTTGCCCCCTGCCCGCTGTGTGGCTTGGGTGATGTGCTGGGCCTGTGTCCATCTACCCACCTGTGAGCAGGACGGCAGGTACAGCGAACCCCACAATGAGACCGCAAGAGGAGAGAAATCACGCTGCAAAGACCACAGGGCAAATGTCATCTACACACGCATGAGCTGCCACAGTCCCAGCACATGGGACCGCCACATGCAAGCAGGGTCCCTGCGTTCTGCCAGGCTGGTGGCCCCTCAGAGGTCCATGCCGTGTGTGTGTGTGTCTCTGAGCCCTTTGTGGACCAACAGCATTGGGGACGGTCCAATTAAAAATCCAGAGGACTCCCAGGTGTCCTTAGGATGCACCAGCTGCCCCTTGACCGTGTTCGCCTTTCCTATCCGAGCTCAGAGCCCTGCTTCGCCCATGCGGGGACGCACACAGGGAAGGCTTTAGGGACGTGCCGGCTGTGCTGGGTGTGCAGACCATGCACCACACACAGACATGCCAGCCACAGTACCCACGGGCCTGATGCCCCAAAGCTGGCACCCCTGCTGCGTATGCTGACCTCCTGCCTTCCCAGGCCTTTCTCAAGTTCCAGAAGGTTCCACATTCCCCTCATGCTCCTATACACAGTGAGCCTAGAGGCTGAGTAAGGGCTGCTCCTCAATCTGAAGGTTTTTTCTGGTATTTTCTTTCCTCGGGCTCATCACCCATGTCCCACGGCCGTCACCTGTAAAGCTGGTGTTAATACACTGAAATGAGCCCTGGGTCACGGTCGGTTCCCGGAGGAGAGGCGAGTGGAGGCGGAAGCCGTGTCCCTGTGTTTGTTGCACCTACGTCGTTCCAATGCAAGACAGACACACGACACCATGCGTGCGTCCCCGCCGGTGTGACGCTTCCACAGCAACACATGCACGAACCGCACCGCACACCCTGCCTTGCCCGCGGGTCAGCCCCACCTGCCAGGAAAGGCCGGCGGGTTAACTGCTCTGCACGTAAAGAGAAGCGTGTAAGGTCTTAAAGCCAATGGGACCTTCAAGGACAGCCCTTCCTGTAAATGACACTCAGATTCGGTTTTCTCTGGGGAAAGAAGGGACACGGCACCGGCCGTCCTCACTGCGACCTCCACGGGGCGCCCGAGGACCCCTCTTGGAAGGCTCACGGGCCCTCCCCAGGGCAGAGAGGAGCAGCAGAAAGCAGCTACGAGCAGACAAGAAAGATTTCAAAACGCACACAGGGCTTCAGCTCCATACCCCACGGCATGCTTGAGGCCAGGCTGTCCTGGACACTCAAGGCAAGGGCGGTGTCTGAAGAAAGAGGTGCTGACCGGAGCCATCGCTGCTGCTCTGTTGCTGTCCCCTCACCTGGGCCCACGTGCCCTTGAATTCCGTGCCGAGCACGGGGGACGTGTGCCAGGGCCGCAACAGACGCGTCGAGGTCGTCACCCCCCTGGGTGGGTGGGTCTCGGGCGGCCCTGAAGCACAGAGCCGGGCTCGCTGACCCCGCAGGGCCCAGTTACTCTGTAAAGGGTGGGGCGGGCATTCGAGCGGCTGCTTCCAGCTCCAAGGAATAGTAGGGGGAGGACAAAACCATGGAAACTGCACCTCGAGCGCCCACGAGCTTTCCTCTTGCTCGCAGGTCGCGGGCCGCGGTTAGACCCCAGCAGGCTGCACTCCCCAGGCCTTTTGAGGTGCCCGAGACGTGGCGCCCACGGAAATGTGTCCACACTAGCTGCTGCCGGAGCGGAGGGAACAAGGGATGCTTACCGGGAGCGCCTCTGTACAGACCACCGGTGCTGCCCACCTGCGGCCCGGGCGGGGTGAAGGGCGCGTAATGTGGGGGTGTTGTCACTGGAAAAGAAAGCAAAGTTCCGTCGCCGTGCCCTCCCTGAAGGTGTGCGGCTGTCCACCACGTGGGTGCGGCGTCTCGCTTACCATACGGTGTTTCTGGAGACACGGGAAACGCCGGCGTGGGAGAGGCGGAGTCAGCGCCACCCTTGGTTGGTGTGAAGGTCCTGCCGCTGATCCCGCTGGGGTCTGGGGGGTATGCGGCGGCCACCGTCTGGAATGGGCACAGAGAGTCAGGGGAAGGCCACCCCCTGACGACAGGCCCGGGCTGGCCCACGCATGGGGACGGCAGCCAGGGCACCACGTGCAGTGCAGCCAGCGGCAGCCACCGTGAAGAACTTCAGTAACTCAAAGGGGGAGTCCCCGTGGCCCAGCCACCTGTGACCGCGTGGAGCCGGCAGAGAGGGGCGGGCACCCGGCGGAGAATGGGACAAAACCCATTCCTGCTCATGGGCAGTGAGACCAGGGCACGGAGAAAAAGCAGAAGAACTTCTCCAAATAGTCCCTTTCTAAGCTATTCTGGGCTCCAAGTTTCCACCTGGACAATGGGAAAACACTGATGGGGATGTGCTCATCGTTTGGGGTTCGACCTACCTTACTACATTCTCATTAAAGCCTGGAAATGCTCTGTGGATCCCACCACGGGGGGCCACGGCCACGGCCACGCTGACCCACTTTCTTTCTGCTTCCCTTCCGTGGCCTGAGACCACAGGCAAGTCCATGTCCTCCTTGGCCACCACCGTGCACCCTCAAACCCCCTGCACGCTCCCGCCTCCCCCCACTGTGCAGTCTGAGTGATGAGGCCCAGCAGAGCCCATGGTGGCCATGCCGTGACTTCTGGGGCCAGGGCTGCACACCTGGGCTCTCCCAACTGCACCCCTGCCTTTCCAGGAGAAACCCCACCTGCGAGATGGGAGGGAGGCGGGGTGGCAACAGGACCACAGTCAGGAATGGGACCTGTCCAGCTACCAGGGGGATGGTGCCTACCTCCTTGGCATCTGCTGGAGAGAGGAAAGGCGCCAGACCTGTGGCCTGGTCTACACCGGGGGTCTTCCCCCATCCACATCTGGAGAAGGCTGGCTGCCCCCCAGCATCGTTGTCATACTGCCCGAGGCTCAGCTTCCGGAATCTTTCGCCCAGCGGCTCGTCCCCCGAGGAGCCTGACAAGAGACACACACGTGGACTGCAGGTGCTTTTCCCATAGCAGAGGACAGAGTTCTTAATTAAAAGCTGACTACAATTTCCCAAATTGACACTTATTTTTCCTAGTTCCAGAACCTTTTCAGCTCCCACTGCCCATTCCCCTCCCCCTGCCGACCTCTGGTCTTCCCAGTTCTGGATGTTTCCTAGAAACAGAATCATCCACTGGGTGTCCTCTACTCTCTGGCTTCCGTTGCCAAGCATGCTGTCCCAGCCTGTCACTATGGGAACCCACTTTTGTTCATTTCCCGCTTCTCCCAGCATCATTCCCAGAAGGGGTCTGTGTGCCTCTGCTCCCCGCTGCCTCGCACAATCCAGCACTGTGGAAGCACGAGGGAGAGCCCGTGAGGCCGGGATGGAGCCCACCCCCCATCCTGGACCGTGCACGGAGGATTCTTGGTGGCCGCTATGCTGTGGTCTGCGCGCTGACCGTAGCACTTTCACAGTCAGAAAAACAACGTGCCGGATATCACTGGAGTTCAACAGCAAAAACCCTCAAACCTCTTTTCTCAACTGTATTGAAGAAACGGCTACATCCGCCTGCCCGAGCCCATGTTTCTCCTTTTCTGTGAAGAAGCCACATCTGGGGAAAGGGGAGCAGGAGACCAGAGACAGGCGGGACAGACTCAAGCTAAAGCAGCACCACGGGAACCGGTGGGTGCGCTCAGCCCTCCCCCCAGCGGGGGTCCCTTCTGAGAGGGACCATGGGGAAAAGGGGCAACAAGTCCCGGGCTCCCTCGGGGGACCTCCTGTGAGCACCAGGCCCCAGACGCTAAACCCTGGACGCCTCCATCCCATCTCCGCCCCTCCACACAGCCCCAGCCCCACACTCCTGTTCAGACACCCTCCGCCCCGCTCTTCCCAAGCGCTCTTCTTCCCAGCCAGCAGCTGGGACACGGGGACCTCACCAGCCCCTCAGTCACAGAGGATGCTGCAATCAATGCAGAAAAGACGGCAACCCGGGACCAGAGAGTCCGCAAAATTGCTGGGGACCCATGCATCCACCCACAGTCCTGGTCACCAGAGGGCTGGCCTGGGAGCAGCTCTTCCTCCAATGAGTGCCATGAGCCCGTCCCACCGGGTCACCCAGGGGCCCCTCGGCTGGAAATTCACATCTTCACTCTGGTCTCTTTTCCTCCTGCCACCGGACACCACATACCCTGGGTCTCCCCCAAAGCTGGGTAGGTGTCCCTGGGAGACCCTCTCAGGGCCATTCCAAACACCAGCATATCTCATTTTTGCAAATCCACTTCATTCCCAGGGAGGGGGTGGTGCTGGGGTCAAGGACAGGACAGACACCCCCCACTGAGCCTGCAAACCCTGTGTCAGCTTGGCCCTGGCCAGGCTCCAGGAGGCTCAGATTCTCTGTGGGGTGCAGGGGCTCGCAGGCTGGGTCATTCGGTCATTCTGTGGATACGCAGGGACTGAGCGCGGCTGTGATCCGTCATCAGCCCCAGGACAGAAGGCATCTCAGCCCCTGGCGCGCCCGCTCACCCAGTCTTTGATGGATGCGACTTACAGCCTCTGTCACCAGAAGGTGCGGCAAGGCCCAGGGCAGGGAAATTCCCGGGTACCCGGACGCCCCCGCTGAGCCCCAAGGGAAGCCCAGGAGTCAGGCCAAGACCGTGGGGTGCCCACAAAGCGCTTCGCAGCAGGACTGAATTCAGCCTGACCTGGGAGATCAGCATTGTGGTGGCCCACTGCCACAGAGTCCACAGAGCGGCAGGAGGGGACTGGCTCAGATTACTCAATAAAACCCTGGATTAAACAACAACAACAACGACAAAAAACCCAGAAGCCCCTTGACAAGCCTGCACCTGTTCGTAAATACACCATTCAGAACTCAACACCCGTTTGTATCTTCCTTACACTCCAACAGGGCGGTTCAGACCTCTGGAGGTGACAGTCTGATCTTGTCCACAGGTGAAGGACTTGAGAACTCACAAGGTGGGGTCCGGGCCCCTCCTCTGCCCTGTCGAAATCAAGCCCAGACCAGGCGTCACCACCCTGATCCCCAGCACTTGACATCCGTCCAGCTTCCAAATTCCACAACAGGGCTGGAAAAGATTTGTACCAGCCCTCTGGGTGGGCGGGGTCAGCCCTCCGGGTGGGTGGAGCGCAGAGCCATAAATACAAAACAGCCATTCTCAAACTTGGCTGCACATTAGAATCGCATTAAAATTCCTGGTGCGCAGTCCTCACCCCTTCCCTGGGAAGGCAGAACCCGCGGGAGTGTGACCCAGAGCCTGGCATTTTTCTAACAACTTCCTGGTGCCCCTGACTCATGACCACGCCAAGCACAGAGGCAGGTCTCCAGCGGGAACTCCAAGAAGTTCCAAACGTGGGGGGCGTTTAAAATCCTTCTGATGCCCCCATCGCGGCCCAGGTCAACCCACGCCGGCCCTCTGGAGGCAGACGCTGTCTCCGCATCTGATAATGCTCCCAGGTGACTGCTCTCTGTAGCCCAGGGGGCCATCTGCGGCCCCGGAAAGTAAATGGAAACCTCCGAGAACACGCCCTTTGTCGTGGATCTGGGCCCCTAGAATGCGCAGTGCCCAGAAGCCATTTATTTACCTCCAGACAACCTCAGAAGAATGAAGTGCTGGGTCATACAGGCAAGCACACTGGGTTCTGGAAACTCCCTTGCATTCCTAGGAGTGCGGACAAACAGCAGCCAAAGCCTGCCCCACGGCTGTGGTCGTGGGAAGCCTCCCCAGTCCAGCTCCTTCAACTAGACACGTGCATCTTCTCAAGAGAGGGTGGGCGAGGTCAAAGGACCCGCTCCGCGCGACACTGAAGGTGCCCGGCTGAAATGTCCCCAGAATGGCTCCAGGAGCCTTATTCTCCCTAAGCTGCCACAGGGATTGCCCGTCCCTGCCACCTGCAGGGGGTATCGGCAAAGAGCTAGGAGACGTTTGTTAGAAATTCCCAGCACTGGCCAACACTCAAGACTGTAGCAGAAGCAGCCTCCAGCAGCAGAGACCTCTCTTTCTGGGTCCCTGGCCACCCTCTGCGGCCCCATCCCCACACCAGGGGAGCCCATGGGAATGGGCTGCCGCTGGCACCACGAGGCCAGGGGGCCAAAGAAGGCCAGCCTGTCTTTTGGATTGCAAAACTGAAAATCCTTTTCACTGGCAAACACCGAACCCCTTGGTTAGGTCACATTTCTTCCCAAAAGGTGCACTTAAAATGGAAAGGATGTGTCCCAAAAGCTAGAAGGCCATCCTTCCAATATGAGAAATGTTAGCCATCCTCCTCCCACCGTTCACTCAAAATCAGACAGGACCTCAAGCAAAATGTACGAAGCCACACAGCGACCAAAAGGCAAGTTCCCCACCCGACTCACTGAAAACACCAAAGGCAGAGGCTGGTGCCTGGCTTTGGGTCCCTTCTGCCTCTTTGAATATATTTTCCCTTTGAATGATTTGTCCCCTCCCCAAAGCACTAGGTCTCGCTGGCCTGCTCCTGAAACACGCCGTCTTTCAGCAACCGTAGCTTTTTTTTTTTTTTTTTTTTTTAAGATTTTATTTATTTGTCAGAGAGAAAGAGAACAGGAGTGGGAGGAGGGGCAGAGGGAGAAGCAGGCTCCCGGCTGAGCAGGGAGCCCAACACGGGGCTCCACCTCAGGACCCTGGGATCATGACCTGAGCTGAAGCCCCCCCACGGAGCCCCCCAGGCATCAGCAACCTTAGCGGGACACAGGAAGGTCGTCGGAGCTGTCCACTTCAGGACCGCCCTCTGGACAGGGAGGTGCAGGCTGTGCCTCTGCCAGCCGCCCCTGCTGGAGAGGTCGTGACCTCTCTATCCGGACACAAAAGACCTTACCAGCCTTACCCAGGGGTTAAGTAAATGACAGCTGTCTGTAAGTGACGGTGCACTCGGCCATTAGGGGATCGCATCCGTGTGGACCCACTAGTTCTTAGCACATCCACGCCAGAGCTTCGGGAAACAAGCCACCCACGTCAGAGGCCAGGGGGGTCTCCAGAGTGAACTTTTCAACATCGGAGGGGGTGGTCCCTTGACAAGTTAAACCAAGAAGGGCCACGTGGCCCTGGCGCTGGGCCACACGGCCCTTCTTTAACTTGTTTAACTTGTTTCAAGCACTGAAAACATCCAGGGGCGCCTGGGGAGCTCAGTTGGTTAAGCGCCTAACTTCGGCTTAGGTCATGATCCCGGGGTCCTGGGATCGAGCCTGCTTCTCCCTCGCCCCCTGCCCTCCCCCTTCTCTTCTGGAGCTCTCTCTCCTCCTCGCTCTGCCTCAAATAAAATCTTAAAAAAAAAGAACTGAAAACATTCAAGGTGTTCACGGCAGTGCTATTCTCAACGGCCAAAGCGGAAGCGACGGATCTATGCTCAGGTGAGCGGCGTACACACTGTCCCATCGCCCCGCGGATACAAGGCAGCCCCACAGAGGAAGGGCGCTCTCACACACGCTGCCGCCTGCACGAGCGTGGAAAAGCGGATGCTCAGTGAAAGAAATCAGACACACGCCGTACACGTCCATTAAACGAAATGCCCAGCACAGGCAAATCCAGGGTCGGAAGGCAGATCGGAGCAGCCAGGGGCCAGAGCTGAGAGACAGGACTGACTGCTAATGGGGACCGCACACTGCACAAGTCACTGAACTTGGGGCTTTAGAAAATTGCCATGGATGCACCCCCTGGCCTTGCTGAGCTGCTCAGAGGCAGCCATCCTGGTGTTGACATGACCTTGGGTTGCTGCACGTCTGTGCATGTCTCCGGCATGGAAAACAAGGCGTGCAGGGCAATGACGTCAGGCTGCTTTCTGAGTGCCCACGTACCCGCACGTTCTCACACTGGATCCCTCTGTTTGGGGTTTAACATCTAACGTCGATGGATGGGCTTTCCAGGATCGATGATTCAACGTTGCTACTTCTCAGGGCACCCAGGTGGCACAGTCTGGGAAGGGTCTGACCCTTGAGCTCAGTGCAGGTCTTGATCTCAGGGTCAGGAGTTCAAGCCCCACCATGGGCTCTGTGCTGGGCGGGGAGCCTGCTTAAAATAAAGCTGCTCCTTCTCATTGCTCGGAATTCCCCTCGGTATGAACAGGTTCCCTGACTCAGTATTAACACGGTGGATGGATCCTGTCATTGTGGGTTCAGGTCGAGGTAACATGGACAAAATATTTGGCAACATGAAGCAAGGAGCCCTTGAGAGATGGGAAAAACGGAACTGGCTTCCTGCCATCTGTGGGGCCATACCTCTCACAGACTGAGTCCTTTCTTTTGCTACCTGGGCATCATCAGGCAAAGTTTCCCCCACCTGAAGGATGTGACCCGAGAAACCTACCTACGTGCTGGGCTGCAGGGAGGGGCGCACACACCCAGGGCGTCAACCAGAGCAAGAGAGAGCCACAGAGGCACAGAGGGAGTAAAACACCCCAAAACCTACCCTCCCACCTCACCCCCTTTCACGAAGTGAAAGCTTTCCAGCAGGACTCTCTCCTGTCTTGCGGGCAGGGACAGGCTCCCTACACTGTCTTGTGACGAGCCTCTTGAATTCAGCAGAGCAACATGGGTCCTCGGAGAGTCACTGACTTCCTGCTGGCACCACACCCTCTACTGACAAACATCGCCGCGCCAGGACACAAAGAGGCTTTCCGGCTGGCGGCGGAGTCCGAGGTGAGTGCAGTAAGGGCTCAGCCACGGGGCGCACAGTCAGACAGAGGAAATTCTGGTTATGTGCCATGGTAGACACAGAGATCATGGGTGACTCAGAGAAGCTCAAGCATGATGCCTGGGATAGCACAGGCACTTACTTACAAGTGCCTACCGTCCCGGCTACCGTCATCGACACCATTATCACACCAGTGGTCACCACCACCACCATCAGCATCATAACCATCGTCATCACCATCATCATCATCATCACCATCAGCATCATCACCATCATCACCTTCATCGTCGTCACCACCACCACCACCATTAATACAGTGCTGGTATCGAGTCGACTTTCTCGGGAAATGCTCAGCTTTCACATACAATCTTCCTCCCAGAAGTAACCAGACCCACAGTGTGTGTGCGGCCAGTCATGAGCCGTGAGGACACGCAACAGTCTCCAAGAGTAGCTATGGGGATTCCCAACTTCCTAAACTGGTGGTCTTTCTTAGGATCCGTCCACATTCTACAAAGAGTGAGGGATTCTACTCGCCTCCAGATGCTGAGGTCCCTGCACCCAAGTATTCGCTACACAAGAATTGCATCTGAGGCACAAGGCAGACCAGGCAGGGTCTCGCTGGAAGGTACGGCACCTGGGAACTTGCCCACCCCTTTCCTGTCTGAGCAAGACTCAAGGTGGCTCAGGTGAGACACATGTCGATGGGGCCAAGCCTCAGGCACACAGACACAGACACGATGCACGTGTCAGGTGACGGCCAGCATGCTGGGACCGCCATGGTGCCTTTCAGACTCGCCAGTCCTCCTGGCTTGGCCACATGTGGCTCAGCTCAGCTGAGCAGCCCTGGCCTCCCCATCGAGGCTCAGCACAGGGTTCCTGCATTGCCAAACCTGAAACATGCCAGGACTCAAAAACAGTTGGTTAGGGACTGTGCGCCTCTGTGTTGAGGCCCTGCTGGGCCCTGATCCCCTCATCCCCACCATCCTTCCCCATGCTCAAGTCTCCTGCCCTCTCGGGCCTACCAGACCCATAAGCAGCCCCCCACTCCCTGCAAGGCCAGCTAGGTGCATAGCTGCTGACCTGTCCACACAAGGCTGTGCCCAGGGGCCCCCCATCCTTTCTGCCGCCCTCCCCCAGACCCAGGGACGAGCCCAGCACTCCTCTGCAGGCCCCGTCCCATAAGACACAGATGCAGACAAGTGTGCATCCCATGGGACTCCCACTCACCTTGCCGCACAGAGGCCCTGCCCGGGCCCTCTCCTATGTCCTGCAGGCCGCTTACCCGCAGCCCACCTCCCCCGCTGTCAGGGAGCAGGGGGCCGTTGGCCTGGCTGCCCAGCGTGTTCATGTGGGTGGGGATGGGCTCGAAAGTAGGGTCCAGCTCCAAGATGAGCCTGTTGAGCTGCTCGATGGACTGGTCGATGTCCAGGGTGGGTGAGCCCGGGGAGGAGTCCGCGCTCGGCTCCGGTCCAGTCCCATTCACGACTCTGACGTCTGGAAATCTCGGCTTGAATGCTCTGCCTGGAGGGGGCCGCTGTGCATCGGGGACCTGGGGCCCGGGACCCAGGCTCCTCTGGAGGGCCATTCTGCTGCCTGCCCCCCGAGTGGGGGTGACTGGAACCCTGGGCTGGGATTGCACCAGGCCAGAGCCGTCCTCCGGGCTGCGGCCCACGAGCCTGGCCTCAGCGTCGGGTGCGAAGCTGTACTGGTGGGCGGCCACCATCTGCTGCTGGCGCACCCAGGTCTGCGTGGAGTAGCCGCTCTGTCCGTAGGCCTGCGTCTGGGCGGACACCGAGGGCCTCTGGAGCACTGGTGGTGGCTGCTTGCACTCTCGGGTCCTGAACGCCCGCTCCCGCTCGTACAGGGGTTCCACGCCGAGGCTCAGGTCAGGGGCAAGGCTGCCATGGGCGTCCTCGCCAGCATTGCTGCCAAACCCGTCCGACAGGAGGGAGTTCTGGCTGCTTTGGTGGCAGGCAAAGGGGCCCAGGTGGGCTGATGGGTGGCCCTCCGAGGAGGACAGGGTCCCGATGCTGTCCACGCTGTGCAGGTCATGGCCAGGCATCTCGTCGTCCAGGATGTCCGTCTCCCGGTCCTTGAGTGTGACGTCTCCGTTCACGTGCACCTGAGCTGGCACAATGTGGCGTGTCCCGCCGTACTTGATGGGGGCATCCGTCGTATCCTTGATGGGGCTTCCGGAATCCTCCAGGCCAAAGCCACTGAGCAGCTGGTCCAGCTCAGCCTTCTCTTGGGGGCTCAGCCCCCTCCTGGACCCCACGGCAAGGGGCTCCTCGGTCCTGTCGGTCCTGACGGAGGCGGTGGAGTGGCCGGAGTCGCTGCTGACGGACAGGGTGTGGTCGCCGTGGTCCGGGCTGCTGGCGGTGGGGACGCCTGGAGACCCACCTGGGACACCAGGATCTGAGGCGCTCTTTTTCCTCACCTTGGCATAAAGACTGCCATCAACGGGGCCCTGTGTGTGTAGCACTGGGGGAGGAAATGGGAGACAGGTGGTAAGTCACAGCTGGAAAAGGAGCTCAGGCCGCCGGGATGCATGTGTCCATCCTCCCGAACAAACAAACTCCTGACAGACACCTCACCATAATGGGGGCGAGGACTCCTTGGGGCCCCCAAAGTCTACCCACACCCCGGCAACACGAGCATCGGCAAAAGCAATTCAAAGAGTCCAACAGCTTTGGGATCCAGGACCCTTTCTTTCTACCTTTCTGTGCAAAAAGAGCCATCACTTAGAGAACCTTTAGGAATCTCTGCACTCAGGAGTCATCTTGCCCCGAGGGCTCAGAGTTAATGTCTAATGTCGTCATTAGTCTACATGCTGGGTACAGCTGAGCTCCTAAGCTCCTGGGAATGCAGAAGCAGGACACAGGGTGTGGGGGCCCTGAACCTCATGGGGAGAGAGAGAGGCAGAACTCATCTGCAGACTTCCCAATAGCACAGCATCCCTCCACAGAGAAGGTCCAGCAAAGGCACAGCAGGACGCAGGAGACGGGAAGCAGATCTTCTGCACTGGCCTCCGCCCGCCAGGACAGTGGGGAAACAAGCAGGGCCGAGGCAGGGGCGGGAAGAGCGCGGCTCTCTTCCCCTTTTACTACTTCCGACCCTGGCCTCCACCTGCTGCTCGGCAGCTGGGCAGAGCCTGGGGCCCGGGACCTCCTCTGGTCTCCCACAGGGACATGGCAGGCAGAGCGCGACAAGAGGGCTGTCCAGGGTGGTTTCCACACTCTCTGGTCACTGGGGAGCCACCCTGGATCCGCAGCAACCAGGCCCCCGGAGGAACCAGCCCCAGACCTGGGCTCCAGGCCCCGGCATGCAGGGTACCCTGGCACAGTCAGAGGCTCCCAGCGGTTTTGGAAATGCTGGGATGACAAGACAGGACTGAGACCTGTGGGGTATCACGGGTTCTTGTGTGGATGGGCACGTGTGATCTTGGGCTTTCTTCCTAATGGGCCTGGGAGAAGCAGAAGAAAGCGTGCGACCGCACCGATCCGAAGCCACAACAGAGCGGGGAGGGGGAGGACCCAGAAGATCCTGCGAAGACACGGCGTGGTGGGAGCTCAAGGGCAGGGGCTGCACTCCGACTCGGGGTCCCAGGGCGATGGACCAGGAGCCCTGGCTGCATCCCGGAGCACCTGCTCGAGGGCAGACGCCCGCTCGCCCGGATTACTGCAGGATGGCTGTCTAGCGAACTAACTCGTTCCTTCCTCCCGAGTACAGAGCTGAAGCTCCTCAGGAACTGGCCACTGGCCGAGGTCAGGCAACTGCTGGGAGGTGGAGGCGGGACCAGAACTCAGGTCGCTTGGACCCTGGGCACCAGCGGAAAGGACCCCACAGAGATCCCAAATTCCATGGCTCCCAGAGGAGGGGCTTTCCAGGCCCAACACGCGTTCAACTCGGTTTCTGTGGGAGACCCCCGGGGCCAGGAGGGGATCTTCCGTAAGACCCGCTGAGCATGCGCCTTCCCTCTGTCGGCAGAGTGCAAGGCCAGGGGTGGCTGTCGTCCACACCACTCCCCGCCCCATGACAGAGACAAAGGGGTCAGAGCAGTCCAGGCCAGTGGGTGAGGCGCTGTGGCACAGCCAGGCGAGTGTCCATAAGTTCTAGACACGCAACTCATGCTGCCACAGCTGTGCATCCGTGACATCCACGTCCTGCTCCCCAAATCCCACTTAAATGCAGACACCATGACTTAAAAAAGGAAGCCAGCAAAGAGAGGTACAGAAGTTCTTCTAATTGACAATGGGACACTGGGCAAAAGTACCATTAATCATTCTGAGTCAGAACCCCTTGGCCAGACCCACGAAGAAGGGTCTACATGACATGGTCAAGGGTAGGAAACCCCCTTGCCTGGGGAGTCGGGAGTACCCCTATTGTTATCTTTACTAGCGGGAGCCCTGTCAAGAGAATAACAAACATGTTACAGCAACACCATTACTGCAGACCCAACACCAGCCCCACGCAAGGCCCAACGCTCAGGACAAGGGATCCTCAGCTCCCGGGGTTGGGAAGGGAGCCTGGGGGCCTCCCCATGGGCAGCACAGGGATGGGACGCAAACCATCGCCAGCATGGGCCCTCCCTGAACTGCTCCGACGCACACAGATTACAGGACGCACATTACAGCTACAGGAAAGGAACAGGACCCGCATCCCTGAAGCCCCCAGACAGACCCGCCCGAACCTGCAGGTCCCTCTGCAGGAGCTCAGACTCTCCCAAAGGCATGGGATGTGTCCAGAGACGCACCCACTTGTGATGGGAATGTCAGGGAGTGGGAATGTCTCGCACATGGGGCGAGGGAAGGGGCCTCTGGCCCCCACTCTGTACTCTGAGCAGGGGTTTCCACCTTGCAAGAAGGAACGGGACTGGTTTTCCAGTGGGAAGAATGCGACACCCGCGTTCCCATTCTGCATTTACGCTCTGTGCCCTCCACTTGCACTGAGACTGCTCCAGCCCCTGGTTCCTCAGTTACAAAGTGGAGTGATTAATCCCACCTCTCAGTGCGGTTAGAGGAAAGAGAAAACAGGCGTACAGGCAGCCAGCGGGCTGCATCCCTGGGAAGAGCTCTGTCCCTGGTGGATGGAGCCCAGCACTCCCTCAGGGCCTCATTTCCCACCTAACCCCCTGCTGCTTCCAGACCCCAGCAGGCACACACGTGTACCTGCCCCAGGGCCTTTGCTCCTGCTGTTCTCTGCCTCCATTGCTCTCTGTCCTGGCTCACTCCCTCCCCTCCTCCGCCTGGCCTCCCTGAGCATCCTTTCCCCAGGGAGGGGTTCCATCTGCCACACCCACACTCAGACACTGCAGTTTCGAGCGAGTGTTAGGGACCATCTACATCCCCCACAAGAACATAGCCTCTGGCTGGGCTGGGGGTTTGGGAACCTGTGGTATCCCTAAAACTAGGGAACAGACTCCGGTACCCAGTGGGCAACAAATAACCAAGAGAGCCAATGTTCTGGCACGTTTACACACAGGGAAGACTGAGGAGCTGTTCTAGAAGGTTCCTTCTACCTCAGTGGGCAAAAGAACTGAAAACCAACCAGCCCAAACAAACCCACAGCCACACAGCATGAAGGCAGGCGTGCCCACAACCCCGGGACCCCCACTCTCCTGCAAGCGGCTACCACCCCCACTGCGAAACCAGCCGGCTGGTCTGCACAGACAGAGCAAGGCTGCAGGGGCACCAAGGTCGCCCACACCAAGGCTCCAACACGTCGAAGCACGCACACGCAGTGAAGGTACAGCTGGCCCGGGGCGCCTGGGGGGCTCAGTTGGTTGGGCAACTGCCTTTGGCTCAGGTCATGATCCTGGAGTCCTGGGATCAAGTCCCATATTGGGCTCCCTGCTCGGCGGGGAGTCTGCTTCTCTGTCTGACCTCTCCCCTCTCATGCTCTCTCTCTCAAATAAATAAGTAAAATCTTAAAAAAAAAAAAAAAAAAGGTACAGCTGGCCACTGGCAGGCAGAGGGACCAGATATGCCCCCCCCCCCCCCCCCCCCCGTTGCCCAAAGGTCACCGGGCATTGGCGCAGGGGTGTGGCAAAGAGCAGGGCACGCGCCGGGTGCATAACAATAGCAAGGCGTCTTTGCCCCCACCATCCTCCCAACTGCCCCGCCTCCCCTCCCCTCAGACCCGCCCACTGCCCCGCCTCCTCTCCCTCAGACCCGCCCACTGCCCCGCCTCCCCTCCCCTCAGACCCGCCCACTGCCCCGCCTCCCCTCCCCTCAGACCCACCCAGCAGAAGCGTCCCTGAAAGCCGGGTGTTTCCCACCTGCGCCACAGGCCGGAAAGGGGCTGCGGCACCCGGGAAAGGACCCGCTCACCGGCCCAGCGCAGCTGCCATGTTTCCGACACCCGAAGTGAACAATGCAACCAGGGCCCCACACAGCTGCCTACAGAACCCTCCCCCGGAAACTATCAGGAGCCCGTCCCCACCCCCATGCGCAGCCCCCCAGGGGCTTGGCTCAATCCTTAGGGACACCCCTGTTTAGTGACGGCAGAGGACCCCTTGGGGGTCTGGAAAAGAACGGGAAAAGTATTACCCCAGGCCCCAGGCACAGCCCTGACTCCGGCTGTGGTCCCAGGTCCCTTGTGTGGCTGGTGTCTTGCTGCTGCCACCGACCCCGGGGGGGGGGGGGGTGTCTTAGGGAGGGCACAGCCCCCAAGGGAAGGAGGCTCCAGGCTTTGAAGCTCTGCACCACGTCCAAACCCAGCTGCTACAGAGTGGCCCCCCGTGGGGTCGGAGTAGGGGCAAGGATGGAGAATTCTAGAAGGTGCAGCCAGGGGCTTCCTCTTCCTGCAGCCTTTTGGCTGGGGAACCAGGGGGAGAGCTTTCACTGGTCCAACCCTCCCTCCCCCAGCCATTCCCCTCTGCGTCACCTTTTCAGCCAGAACCTGGGCTCTTTTCAAAAGGAGGCCAAGGCGTAGCCGGGGAACGATTTCCCCGCAGCCAGGGACTAGTTAAAAGTCAAACGGACGTAAACACGGCTCTGATGAGGCGTGCACGACGCAGCCGGACGGTTTATCGAGTGGAAAAGAACAAGGAGGAAGAAACCAGGAAGGGGCTGCAGAGCTGTGCCCCAGCCCGCCCTCCCCCACCTGACCTTGAGAGGGGCGTTTCCGCCAGGAGGGAGCAGGCCTCAGAAAGCACTAGGAAGAGACTGCAAGAAAATGGGGGAGACCAAAAGATGGACGGAGAGAAGAAAACTCTCCTTCCCATCCTGGCTCAGCACAGATCAGGCAACGCCCACCTGTGCGCACAGGCGTGTCAAAAATCAGCCAAAGGGACCCACTCCGCCTCCTTCCAGGCACCAGCCCCTCTGAGGCCAAAAAGGCGTAGAACTGACTTGTAATAATTGGTTCCTCCACGCGCCGGCCCTGCTTCCAACGGACGTCCGTTCTAACAGAGAACAAACGTGGCGGTTGCGTGGGCTCCCCGGACCCTCATCTGTCTCCTGCGTACTGACCGTGAGCCT